CACCCCCCTCTGTAAGATATAGGAGTTGTTGATGAAGACTCTGGACATACTCTTCAGGAAAATGCACCCATACATACAAACATGAAAATATCATGTTGTTTACAAGGTTTTGGATCCTCAAAATCGTTCTGTTGCTCTGTAATGGTTTACTGATCATGGGTCATGAACAACTTGTCTGTCATCATTCCATTAAAATCCATCATGTGCATGATTTCCAGACTTAAACTAGTGGAATAAGTGATCATATCTTTGCTTTGTTAAGTTAAGAAAGAATCAGTTTGTAGATTTTCCAAGAGTGAATACAAGAGTAGGGACTTGAGGATCTGGGCAATTGAATGAGATTAGAAACTGAGAACTAGGTGATAGGACAATGAATTGCTAAAAGAACAGTTAGAAAGAGTGATTATGGAGGATTAAGTCAAAGGTTTAGGTAGGTAGAACAAAGAATGCATTTATGGTGGAGTTATGTGCTGCTGGCATCTGAGAAAAGGGGGGCTGGTTAAATAAGAGAAGAGCAGCCTCCTCTGAAAGGCGTGTGAGAAGCAACAAGCTCACCCCCCTCCCAAAGGGGGGGGGGGAGACAAAATTCCCTTTCAAAAGGATTATAAACTGTGGACAATATTAAAAATCACACACTTGAAAAGAAAATTGAGCTCTGAAATATATTGCCAAATTATTGGTGTTTAACTTTCATGAGTTTGCCGCCTGCAGGGCCAGCATCCATTTCTGATTTCTGAAATCCTGGGTGTGTATTAGCTCTAGGTGTTAAGATGCAGTCTCTGGACTTAACCTTTTTCCCCCCCTCTTGGCTTTAGTTGATGATCCTGTGGAAACAAAAATGAGTTTGCTTAGTTTGGCAGAAATGCAAGAAAGATAAGCTGCTTGGGGAAGAGGGAACCTGTCCCAATCCCTGTCCCAAGGTCTTTTCAAAATGTGTGCGTCAGCCTGAGAAATTTTCATATGTAATGCCTAAGTCTAATTATTTAGTTTGGCTACAAAGGACTGGTGAAGCATGCTTTAATCGTTTTGATGCTAACATTGTCACAAGGCAGCATTAAATCATTTTGAAATGATAATACATCAGGTTAGTCACTATTTTTGCAGCTGTTTTTCTTTGTCAAATTTGTTTGAAACTGAACCCAATAGAATTCGTTATGGTAAAAGAAAATAAAACAAAAGACTACGTCAACTTTATATTTCTTTTCCTCATTGTATAAGTAGAAACACAACATGAGATTCAGGATTCTTAAACATCTTCCTCCTCCAGTTGGCATTGCCAGAATTCAGGACCCACCATCTTCCAGAAACTTCTGGGTAGTTTCCCTGCCCCCACCTTTCCGGATTCTCTTCCATCCTGAACACTGCAACCACTTATTCTCTGACATTCAGTTATAGTATTTGTCACTTTCTAATAAAATATTTTAGTGGCTTCCAGTTACCTGCATAATACCCAACTCCCCAGCCTGCCATCTTAGGCCCTGATTACCTGGAGGCTGCCTCATGTCTAGCCTTACATCTCAAGGACCCCACATATTCTCTGTGTGCCCTCATATTAAACTACTTCAATTCCACAAATATTTATGAAGTAAATTTGTCTCAGACTCTGAGCTAGATGCTGGGGATTCAAAGGTAAGTTTATAACATGGTCTTTGCCCCAAAGGAGCTCCCACTCCAGAGTAGGAGAAATATTAAAAATACAGGATGTAACTGCAACATGTGGTGTTTTATGCCGTTTTACATTCTAGTGTTGTTCTGCCTAGAATATAATTTTCTTTACATCTTTCCTGTAAGGCTTTTATCTGTTTTTCAAGACCATTCTCAAATATCACCTCCTTTTGTAAGATGATGAGCTATTAATTATTAAAAAGATGTATTGACATTTTGTGTATATTTCTATTAGAATTTATTTTACTTAGGTTATATTTTATGTACATGTTTATTTGCACAATGATCTGTGAGCCCCTTGAAGGTGGGACTCAGTCATTCCAAGACCTTAACTATGTGCCCAATTCTTACGTGCTAGATCCTAATATATATTTGTGGTCCGAATAGCCTTTTAGTATTGTTTCAATGTTATAAAAAAATAGAGATGTTCTAATCTCCATAAGCCAGGTTTAATGGATGATGACATAATGTTTTTCTTTTATTGGACTTATTTGGTCCAAACTGGAGTTTAATAATTATGTTCAAAATAACAATTAATGTTTTTCCTTTTTTATTTTATTTGGGCAACATTGGATAATAAAATTTTATAGGTTTCAGGTGTACAATTCTATGACACATCATCTGTATATTGCATTGTGTGTTCGCCACCCCAAGTTTATAACAGTGTATATTCATTGAACTTTCCTATCTTCAAGGCATTGTTCTAAGAACTTTATATAAATTACTTCATGAGAATCATATGAGTTGGGACATATTATTCCTTCCTTTTTATAGATTTTGCATAGAGTTTAAAAAATACATCATCGTCATTATCATTATAATAACTCAAAGTTACATAGCCTTTACTGTGTGCCAGGCACTATTCTAATGCTTTATATATTAACTCAGTTATTTCTCACACCTACGGTATTTATTACATAGATTTTATTATTATCCCCATTTTATTTTTTTATTTTTTTATTTTTATTTTTTTAAATAAATATATCTTTATTGATTTCGGAGAAAGGAAAGGAGAGGGAGAGAGAGAGAGATAGAAACATCAATGATGAGAGACTCATTGATCGGCTGCCTCGTGCACTCCCCTGACTGGGGATCGAGCCCACAACCCGGGCATGTGCCCTGACCGGGAATCAAACCCCAATCGCCTGGATCCTAGGTCGATGCTCAACCACTGAGCCACGCCCGGCCAGGCTATCCTCATTTTATTGATGAGAAAGCTAATGAACAGAGAAGTGAAATTTCTTGTTCTAGATCACACAGCCCGAGTTGTGTGGCCTGGATATGATCCAGAGGTCTGCACCCCAAGCTCCCACTCTTACTTATTAGGTTTGACCATGTTTCATTTTGTAAGTAACATTGCAGTGCATGGGTCAAAATAGTTGATTGTTGTCCATGGACACTTCAAATAATAAGGATCTGTATCATATAACTTATTTTTCTCTATTAATTGGGTTGACATATACTCTTGGAAATCCCCTTACATTTTCCACTTTGCCCATTTCATTCTTTGTTAAACAAGGGGAACTCCCATGGAAGATACAGAATTGCCTGATTGAATTAAGGTTTGTGTGTCATGTTTTCTGTTGTTAAGGCTTTAGATCATATCTGTCTTATCTATTCTCTCTGTTTCATTCTTCTCTCCTCAGTTCTACTTAACAGTAAGTATGGACTGCTTTTTAGATATTAGCCCTGCAAAAATAGGTTTATTGCATTTGGAGATGCTAAAATATATGATTCCATTGTGTCTCTGGTCTGAAAACCCACTAAAGTTATATTTAGTTTAATAGAAAAATAATTAGTATAGAGTTCAGATTTCATCCAATGTACACAAAGCATGATTCATAAATATTAGTAAGATATTTATGTTTGGTGAAGCTACACTCACTTGAGAATTCATATAGTATCACATCTTCAACATATAGCCTTTTGGTTTGTCAAAACTAAGACAAAATCTGTCCTAGTGACTAAGGGAAATAAGATTTAATCATTATAAATTAGAAAAGAGAGTGAAGGGAATTCTCAAAAATATGAAATAATCATGAAGCCCACAGTTGATAGATGGAATGTATTGGCTTTAAATTTAAGGGACTTAAATATCCATTCTACAAAGGTTGAAACTGCCATAATACACTCTAAAAGTATGTTTAGATGCCTGTTTCAGTAATATTATCTTTTCAATTTTTTTTAAAATTTATTGATTTGAGAGAGAGAGATATGTTGTTCTACTTATTTACACATTCATTGGTTGATTCTTGTATGTGTCCTGACCAGAGATTGAACCCACAACCTAGGTGTATCAGGATCATGCTCTAACCAACTGAGCTAGAATTAGTTGAAAATAATGATTTTGTTATAATATCCAGTAGCATATAATGGAATAATGGACTTTAATAAGTGATTAATGATATCATTACCTTATTGGTATTTAGTACTCTAGAGTTGTAGAAAATGAGAGGGTGTGATAAGTACTTGAGGTAAAATCTGAAAAAAAAAAAAAAAAAAAAAAAAAGGATTCCTATAAACCCAGACCTAAACTTAAATAGAACACAATTATAAATAAAATAAAGAATTAGGACTTACAGACAAGGGTTGAAGAGAAATGAAGACTGAGACTGAGATCATATTATCAGCTTTGCCACCACATAATTTTGTGGGGCATGTGGTTAACTTTGCTGGAATAAAATACTTAATTTATAAAATCATAAATTTGCATGAACTGATTTTCAAGGTCCCTTCTTGCTTTCCAGTTCTGCTTTTATTACTAGTTTAGGATCATATCTCTTTCAGAATCCACTTTTTTTGGATTCGGCCTCTTTGTTTACGTCTTCCTGAATATATGAAATAGGCACAGTGTAATCCTGCAAACTTGGGCATCAATCTAAACACTATTAAAAATAAGAGGGGGAGGAATGCTATAAGATTTACCACACACTTAGTTTGAGGCTTAGTTTACATATATTGATTAATCAGTTTGCAAATATTACAGTAGTTATTTTATGACTTAAGTAGTTTTTTTATAACTTAAGGTGAACATGGGGTTGTAAAATATTTTACATTTAATTTCTTTTGTATCAGCATGTTTTATATTCATTTTAATATCATCCATTTTATAAGTTAAGATAAATGTATCGATAAAATAAAAATACACTAATTGCAACTATTTCTAAATAAGTATTTTACTAAAAACTGTATATTGTTTGCATATATTTAAATTGGAGTTTTCATGCTATATTTATGCATTTACAAAGTGGAACAATGTATGTATTGTGGTAAATAAATATTGTGCATATTAAGACTTTTTAATTTCATTTTGTTCTTCTTTTACTTTCCCATAGACTTGCTGCTTTCAAATAGCTGTATTCCCTTTTTGGGTTCATCAGAAGGACTGGATTTCCAAACAATTCTATTAGATGAGGAGAGGGGCAGGCTGCTGCTGGGAGCCAAGGACCACATCTTCCTGCTCAGTCTGGTTGACTTAAACAAAAATTTTAAGAAGGTCAGTTTATTTATATATAGTTGACTGGATGCATTTATTTTCAGCTATTCCCTTCTCCTTCTCTGTTTTAAGTGACTCAGTGTCAAATGCCATTGGTCATTTACATGTAAAAAATAACATATTTCTTTTGATATACATTTTAGATTTTTATGGATTTTAGTAAAAATACATGCTCTTTGTTAAGAATGAATGAGTATAATACCATAACCTTTTGAAATATGAATAAAAGAAATGAAAAAGTAATAAATAGCTAGTACTGCATTATACAGTATGAATGCAAAGTTTTGGATTGAAAAGCTAGCATGTGAGTTATTCATCAAGTGTTAACATTTTATTCATAGCAATTCTTGTAAATAAGCCTACTTTAAATTGATAGCATGACTATGGTAGCAATTTAACACCACACTCTCTTCACACTCCCATTTATATCTGAACAGCTTTCTCCTAAGGCCCAATCATGCTCAGATAGTGAAAATTAATGATACACTAACTATGGATTCAATAAAAATAATCTTACCACTGAAAGAAAATATATATTACTTATTCAAAACACAAAAGGCGATTGCTGCTCTATTCCACATTTTCAACTAACACCGTGATACCCAAAGCAAAGAGTTCCTACCTTAGGCCTTGTAATTATTATTAACTAGTAGTTTAGCAAATATCAGTATCTATGCAAGCAAAGATATCAAGGCTAGAAGGGACTGAATGACGGTTGAGAAGACATTCTACATGACCTATTCTGCATCTATAAGTATCTTTGTTTTTTCCCCTTTTTCTTCTTTTCTAGAAGTATTCCAAAAGAAATACTAGGAGTCTTTGCAAGATTTCAGGTGACTAGACTTCCTCCCCATTCAAAAAGAGTTGTTTATAGGTATCTTAGGACTTCATTAGCATTCACCTACAAGGACCACGTTAAATTAACTCTGTAATTTTGAGATGCTTTTAATAATTAAATATCAGTTGCTCAGTTATTTGAACATTATCGGCACTCAGGGCTTTAGTCCACACAGGGACATTATCTCCATATGTATCAATATTGCTTAATTAATGTCTGCATTAGAAACAATGGCTTTTGCTTTTTAATCATTTTAAATTTTAACTTTTCCACACATTTCTGAGTGAGGTCCACTGAAGGAAAAGGAGTTATGTCTAGTGAAAACTCAGATTTGATAAAAAAAAAATAGTCTTTGAATGCAAACGTATATGCATGCATTTCATGTAATCTGTATCTCTAGAAGAAAGTGTAAGGGCAAAAATATTACCAGAGGTTGTTTTTGACTTATTTTAATCTAAACACACTTGCAAGCACATATGTGTATCTGATTTAAAAAAAATATTACTCTATAGCCTGGATATTGTTTATAATAAAGTGAAATCAGCAGTTGCTTGTGTGCTAGAATTAAAAAAGCTTGCCCTTACTCTCCATTCCATTTATCTTTAAGGGTGTGTTTTTTTTCTTTAGGAATTTTTTTAAGGACTAGTACTCCTAGGAGAGCCTATTAATGGCGTCAGCTATATCTCAGTCTTCAGTAAATATCTTAGCAGGGGATGCATCTTTTTTAAAAGAGCCCCAAGAAAATCTTAGTCAACTCTGCTGTATTGCTTTAAGAGATACTACATAGCTAACAGCATTTTCCCAAATATGTCTCAGTTTTAATATAATAGCAAAAGGCAATTCATACTTTTAAGGGAATTTATTTTTGTGCTGTTCCCTGCCTTTAGGGATTGGAAGAAAAAGTCCATTTATCTGAACTGAGTGTATTAGATCATTGCTTAAAATAAATTCTGATAGCACAATTTCCTTCTGTGACTATTTTAAGCAAATCTCTCTTTGGCCATATTCCACTCTTGAAATGTGCTAATATTTAATAAAATAAATATTTATGAAATATTGATTTCCCTTATGATGTTATTGAAATAAATGGTTATTTGAACACATTATAAAATTAGGGTCTGTGCTAGAGATTTTCAGGCTAACTGATATTTTTTTATATTTTTATAACATGTATAATTCATAACGGGGTTATGTATGTAAAGGTATGAATTTATATTTATGTAGGTACCCACCTTTAACATTTATATAAATCACTCCAGTGTTAAAAGGTACTCCACAGCAGCAAGTAAGTGTCAAGATGTAGTACTTCAGCAGTGTTTAGACCTACATGGTTTGCATTGGCTCAGTGCCGCTCGGCAAAAATCCAAACTCCTCTATAGAAGAAACCACACAAGTTGGAACTCTGTGGGCTGAAAGATATCCTTTGTACTCCTGAGAGTGAAAGCAATGTACAACACATAATTGAGTTATGAGTGACTGGTTGGGAATTTTTTCCTCTGGGAAATTTTAATTTTTTTATATTTTTACTTTTTTTATTGAATTTCTTGGGGTGACATTGGTTAATAAAATTATATAGGTTTCAGGTGTACAATTCTGTAATACATCATCTGTATATTGAATTGTGTTCACCATCCCCAATCAAGTCTCCTTCCCTCACCATTTATTCCCCCTAGACCCTTTTCTACCTCCCCCCTTCCCCTTTCTCTCTGGTAATCGCCATACTGTTGACTGTCTATGAGATTTTTTTCTTTTTGCTTACCTTCACCTTTTTTTCAATCAGCCCTCCAAACCCCTCCCCTCTGACAGCTGCCAGTCTATTCTCTATCTGTCTTTTTCTATTTTGTTTATTAGCTTATTCTGTTTATTAGATTCCACAAATGAGTGAAACCATATGGTATTTATCTTTCTCTGGCTTATTTCACTTAGCATAATGCTCACCAAGTCCATAGTGCTGTCACGAAAGATGAGATTTCCTTCCTTTTTACAGCTCAATAGTATTCCATGGTATAAATGTACCACGGCTTTTTTTTATCCACTCATGTACTGATGGGCACTCGGGCTCCTTCCATAGCTTGGCTGTTATAAGTAATGCTGCAGTGAATGCAGGGGTTCATATATTCTTTTGAATTAGTGTTTTGGGTTTCTTAGGATTTATTCCCAGAAGTGGCACCACTGGGTCAAACGGCAGCTTCACTTTTAATTTTTTGAGGTATCTTCATACCGCTTTCCACAATGGCTGCAGCAGTCTGCATTCCCACCAACAGTGCACAAGTGTTCTCTTTTCTCCACACCTTCACCGACACTTGTTTGTGATTTATTGATGATAGCCATTCTGGCAGGTATGACGTAATATCTTATGGTTTTAATATGCATCTCTCTGATGATTAGTGAGGTTGAGCATTTTTTTAAAATATGAGATCTTATTTATTTAAATATCATTTTATTTATTTCAGAGAGAGAAAGGGAGAGGGAGAGAGATAGGAACATCAATGATGAGTCATTGATCGGCTGCTCCTTCACACCCCAATGCTGGGGATCGAGCCCGAAACCCAGGCATGTGCACTGACTGGGAATCGAACCGTCATCTCCTGCTTCATAGGTCGACACTCAACCACTGAACCACCTTGGCCTGGCTTATGTTGAGCATTTTTTTTATATGTCTCTTGGCCATCTATATGTCTTCTTTGGAGAAGTGTGTATGCAGATCTTTGCCTATTTTTTAATTGGATTGTTCGGTTTTTTGGTGTTTAGCTATATAAGTTTATTTTTAAATTTCAAAAAAAAATTATTTTAATTAGATTTATTGGGGTGACATTGGCTCCCCAAACCATATAGGTCATCATCTGCACACTGCATCGTGTGCTCACCCCCCAAGCAAAGTCTCTTTCAACACCCATTTCCCCCTCTTTTCTGCCTCCACCTAACTCCCCAACCCCCTTTTCTTCTGGCTGTTACCACACTGTTATCTGTCCAAGTGTTATTTATGCATGTTTTTTGGCCAAGTACTTCACCTTCTTTCACCATCCTCCCCAAAGACTTCTTTTTAGCTGGTCTTCAGTTGGCTATTCCATATGATCATTTCCTCTGGGAAATTAAACACCAGTTCTATGGAACATATTTGAATGAAGTGTCAAAATTAAGGATATATGTTTCCTTAAAGTTTTTGTATAGACAAGATTGTGCCTATTGAAAATGTGATACCTCACATTTTGAGTCTTTTCTAAATTTGTTCTATAAGGCCTCTCCTTAGTTAAGGAATGCCCTGTGGATTTCTCTCTAGGAAAGGTTTGGGACAAATAAGCACATTTATTTGACATACCTTTCCCCCAGCACTAGACTACAATAGAGCCATTAGAACCAGTCAGAAGAGATCCCATTCCAAGGGCAAGACATGCATCTGGAACTGTATTTACTACTCCCGACTATTTTGTTGTAGATTGAGTTCCCCCAGAAGCTAACTATGAAATGAAGTTAGCTTATAGGATATTTTTAAGGTAGTGTTCTTGGGATCAACACATGTGAGAGGGTCGCTAAGGAAGTAGTGTTAGACAAAGGGAGGCTGAGCTCTGATGCAGTTCCAACAAAAGCTTCAGTTGACAGGCCAAGCTGATAAGGTGGCAAACATTTCAGTTTTTTCCTCTAGTGTAAGTGATAATACCATTATTTAGCTGGATTTATCTTATAAAAGAGAATCTCTATTTTCTCTCTATCTAATCTATTCACCATGACCATCAATGTTATCTCTTAAAAAAATAAAAAAAATAAAAATCATCATATTTCTTACTGGCTTATACACTTCTGGCAATGCTTGATTTCTGAGGAACTTGAATGAACTCCAGATTCCTGTTGACTTCTAAGGCTCCTCCCAGCGCATGTTTTTATCCACTGTTCATTGTTCCCTCACTCACACTTTATGGAGATGGTAATATCATTTGCTTAATGATGTTATCAAGGACCCAGTTCTCTCTGTCTCTTCCGTCTGCCATTCTGGGTGTTGGCATTATCCTTAAGCCAGTAGCAAGATTGCTGGGACAGTTTCATGGATCACGTGCAGGGAGGAAATGTGAAGGGATAAAAGACCATCATTTATTATATCTCTTTCTTAGGAGCAAGGAAACCTTTCTCAGAACCCTCCCTCACATCTCATTGGCTAGAAACACTT